GTGTCTCCTTAAAGACTAAACTGGCATCATCATCCTCTCCATTTATATCCATCCTGGCCAGGCAAAGGCTTTTAGGACGAAAGATGGTTTAATAAACAGACATTTATAACAAGTGCCAGATCTTGCAGCTTCATCATCTGGAAAAGAGTCGATTAAACCAAGTGAGAAACTCCCTGATCACTAAAGGTGTCTAATGGAATTAAAATTGAATTATATCATGATTAATATCTTCACCAGCACGTTCAGCTGTACTCCTTTCTCTCCCTAAAATCTGCCTGTGGGAAACAGAGCAAAAAAAAAAACTTAGAGGTGGAAAAGGGCATTAAAGATTTGGGTAATTGTTCCAGTTCTCCAAAGTTTCTCAGGAAAAGCAGCTGTGAGGTCCCAGAGTGGTTCTTGGTGCTCTCCTGTGCTCACCAACCCGTGCTGGAACTGCAGCACTCACTGTGCCTCTTGTGGATCATCCTCCTCTGACAGGGAGCAGGGGATTGCACCAGCACATCCAAACACAGCAAGGGAAGAGGGCACAGACTCACCCAGCCTCTCATCTCAGTCTCTCACAATTCCCTGCTGCAGAGGGGACATCCCTTCCCTTCTTTGCCTCCTCCCTCACGATGAAATCCCGACCCTCACTCCTCTCCCCAGGCTCTGAGATCCAAGCTTTGCTCTTTGTCAGACTTTCTGTGGGTTTGTTTTAAACTCTCACAATTGGGAAGGAATTCAGCCCTCGTGCATGCTCAGTGGGCACATGTCTGCAAGCAGAAACATTTGTGCTGCTGAACCCTTCCAGGCTGAGCATTTCTGAGGCACAGAGCACAGCATCCGGCACTAAAACCATTTACATGTTCTTAGAGTGAAATAAATATTTCCTATTAGAGGTTGTAACAAAACCTTCCTAGAAATTGTTCTTCCTCTCAATTTTCGTACAATTGCTGCTGGCAATAAATCTCCCCATCAGCACTGGGCAGTTCTAAGTGCAGTTGCTGTGTGGGAAGAAGCCAAACAAAGTGACAATACCGAACTTATAAAAGCATCTCAGAGGAAGATGGAAAGGAAAAATTGTTAAACTACAGCTCTGGAAGAGGCTGAGGAGCTGTAATGGCTTTTATGTCACCATCTCACACTCTCAGTGACCCCACGGAGCAGGAGCTCCTGCAGCAGAGCCTCCAACTCATGGCAGTCCCTGAACAACAGCTCTGAGCTGACAGCTTGAGGCATCTCCACGCTGGAAAGAGACTGTAAAATCTTTCCCCACACAGAAAAACCTCATGGTGCTGATTTACTGACCTGGAAGTGATGGATTTTGAGAGACTTGAGAGAAGTAGGGATGAAAGGCCGGGTAGAGAACATGAACTTCCCCTTCCTTGTGTGCTGGCTCATGAGTGAGCACATTCCTGCACACGTGTGTGCGAGCAGCTCAGGACAGGAATGCCCCTGTGCCAAGGAGCTGGAGCTGCTCCAGATCAGCACAAAGACCAATCCCAAATCATCTGAAGTGGGAACTGAAGTGTCAGAGAAGGCCTCGACTCAGCAGCGCGGTTGTGATTGCATCAAGCTGTAATGAAGCAAATCCATCTCCAAAATCCAACTCCAAGAGCAGTAACTGAGCAGCATCCTCCAATAAATGCCTTCCCAGAGCTCAGCTGCAGCTTCTGCTGAGAAATATGGGCACCACCTAATCCCACTTCTGTCCTTGAACAAACACCGTGACTGTGCATTAGAAACACCAAACTAAATTAACACACGAGTGTCCATGCCAATTATTCCAATTAAAGCCTCGTCTAAGAGCCAATTATCACCCATTTTATTAAATGAGAACATTTCCAAACAGTGCTCCCATACGGAGCTCTCAGCCCAGACACAATTACACACTTCACACATTGATACTGGACACTGGGCAAACAAGATTCCCTCCGTCTCTGCAATTCCACCACAGCAGAGTTTGCCTGAAAGGAGTTTAAGGCAGCATTTTGGTTTCAAAAAGCTGTATTTGGCACCCATCTGCAGGACCCTTTTCTGTTTAAACTGCTTTTTGCTCACCTACAAGGCAGCACCAGTGCGCCAGTGAAACTCTGGAGTTGAATTGCTCTGGGGAGTGATTGAGGCGATCAGAACTAAGGCAGAGCGGCTCAGCCAGATGCTCGTCCTGGTGCTAAGAGTGATGTGAGCTGGAGCAGGATTCCCACAGCTCCCTGGAGCTCGGGCTCCGTGAGGCTCCGTGCTGGAAAAACGCCCACTTTTGGCAAAGCCCTGCCTCGCTCGTAAACATTTCACTGGGGGATTTTTTTTGCTGCTTTTCTGACAGGATAACACATTTCTCAGCAATGTCGCTCCTGCCCACAGGATGGCAAGGTCTCAAGCTGACATTTGCTAAATATCTTCACCACCTGCTCCCCAGAAATATTCCTCTCTCCTAGACAGAGGAGACCTTTTCCCTGACAGCTCCTGCCCCCAGGGAGGTGGCACATACCTGCTCCGGCTGTTCCCTGCCACCCAGGGCTGCAGTGACAGGGGCCCTGACCCGGCTCACGGAGGGCTGGGAGCAGCAGCCGGGGTTTTTTGGGGAGCTGTGGTGGTTTCATGTGGGTGCTAAATCTGAGCCACAGTGCCTGTACAGATTGCAGGCCGCATGGCTCCTCAGGCTGCCTGAGAAAGCAGCCTGGGAAAAATATGAGAAGGAATTAAAACAATTCTCAGGGACACTAAACAGCCTTGCAGGTGTTGTTTTGCAGTCTTGTTTTCCCTTGCAGGAGAAGGCCAGGGGGGTGATGAGTGCCCCTGATCAATGATGGTAATGTAGCACTTTGCTAACCAATAAGAGTTTCCTTTCTGTACCTTTCCACGTATCTGTCTATAAGACAGGCCTGAAGCAATAAACCAGATAATTCTCGTGTTGAAACTCCCTTGAGAGTTTGTGTCGTTCTTTCCAGCCGTTCCCAATGGGAACGACAGTTCCACAGCTCCCAACCGAATCCTCTCGCAGCGATCCGGAGCCAGAACCCCGCTGCGGCAAAGCTGGGGGTCGGTAATGACTTTGCTGCTGGCACATGGGGAGAGAGGCAGAGCTCGGAGCCTCTGCCCACAGAGCCAGAGCTCCTGCCTGGAGGGAGCTGCTAAATTTGCTAAATCTGCAGAGCCGCACTCGGCTGCTCTGGAGGCTGCGTGGGCTGCAGGAAGCACGGCAGTGTCTGATCCAAACACAGCCGCAGCCTCCCCCACGGCTCCTGCCGAGCCCCAGCGCTCCGGGATGGGGGAAACACCAGCCCGAGGGGCCGGGAATGGGAACGAGCCGGGAACTCCCCGTGGGAGCCGGAGCCGGAGCATCACCGCAGCCAAACGCAGCCAACCGCGGGTGCCAGGCACGCTCAGTCCCGGAGGGTGTGCCTGGGGTGGCCTCACCTTACAGTGAAGCTTTTGTGAGAATCCTGCTGTCGGAGGGGAGGCTGAGAGCACACAGTGCCCGTGTCCATCCCCAGCCGTGCAGGAGAGGGACAAAGCCCATCGGAGAGAGGAGCCCATCCCAGCCCTCTGCAAAGCAGGACCAGCTTGGAGGAGCCTGGGGGTTCCTCACACGGCAAGAGGAGCCAGCAGCACACGAGGAGGGGAGGATCCAACCTGCAGATCCATGTTGAACTCCAAGAGTTTGGGATGTGCTGAGAGGAGGATGGCAGCAAGACCCTCAGGACCCTCGCTGGGTGGAGGATCCCGGTTTCCAGCCTCGGCAGGGTGGCCATGGGTGTCTGCTTGGACAGGAGACGTGGACAGACCCACGCCTTGCTCCCCTACACCCCATGGACAGGAGACACAGACAGACCCACACCTCGCTCCCCTACACCCCACGGACAGACCCACACCTCGCTCCCCTACACCCCATGGACAGACCCACACCTCGCTCCCCTACACCCCACGGACAGACCCACACTTCACTCTCCTACACCCCATGGACAGGAGACACAGGACAGACCCACACTTCACTCTCCTACACCCTGCAGACAGCGTATCCAGCATCTCAGAGACAAACGCCCTGCAGCAGCCAGCTTCACACAAAGCTGCAACCAAAAGCTCAGAGGCAGGTGACAACAGAGGGTCCTGGAGAGCATAAGAAAATGTCAATTTGCCCGGATTTGTGGAGGAGCTGGACAGGAGTGATGTGTGCGCTGGCCTCCAGAGGGCCCCTCCACAGTGAGATGGCAGAGGAGCAGCAAAAATCACCCGTGACAAAGGAACTGGTGACAGCAGAAACGTGAAAAGCTGCTCAGCAAAGCCATGGCAGAGGGGCAGAGAGAGGGACAGACAGACTGGCAGCCCCGTGACAGGGACAGTTTTTGTCTGAGAGGGCCACCCCAGTGACAGCAGGTGTGCTCTGAGCACAGGGAGCGCCCATGCTCTTCTCCATCGCTTCGTGTGACACCCAGAACCCTGTCCAGGGACACAAACCCCTCTCTGAGGGGCAGAAGGTTCCTGAGGGAACAGTCAACAGAATTCAACAGAACCACAGAATCACCAGGTTGGAAGAGACCTTCAAGATCATCGAGTCCAACCCATGCCCTGACACCTCAACTAAACCATGGCACCCAGTGCCACATCCAGTCTTTTTTTAACACATCCAGGGATGGTGACTCCACGGCCTCCCCGGGCAGGCCATTCCAGTACTTCATTATTCATTCAGTGAAAAACTTTTTCCTAATATCCAACCTATATTTCCCTTGGCACAGCCTGAGATTGTGTCCTCTTGTTCTGTCAGTGGCTGAAAGAGAGCAACCCCACCTGCCTACAACCACCTTTCAGGGAGTGATAAGGTCACCTCTGAGTCTCCTTTTCTCCGGGCTGAACAACCCCAGCTCCCTCAGTCCTCACCCTGCTCCTCACCCTGCAGCAGCCCCGGTGCCAGGGAGCTCCAGCCCCACACACAAGGGCACAGTGGCACAGTGACATTGTGGCACAGTGACACGGTGGCACAGTGACACGGTGGCACAGTGACACACACGGTGGCACAGTGACACGGTGGCACAGTGACACGGTGGCACAGCACCACAGGGCAGCCAGCAGCTCACCAGAGCCCAGCTCCACCAAGCAAAACCAGGATATTTCTGCAGGTACAAACCCAACCCTTGTCACTCGTTCTCGGTCTTTTCAGGGCTGAGTTCTTCTGGGATACTTCCTCACGGGGAGTTTCACTTATCTCAGTTCTGTATCAGGAAGGATACTCCAAAGGCTCATTAGGCTCTTGTTACTCATGTTTATTAATATATTATTATAATTAATACATTATCAAAAGACTTGGCATGTCTTCCCCAGACTTTCTGCTCAAGTTCAATCCACCATCACCTGGCTCAAATTGGCTTGAAAAGCACAGAATGACCTCGAAATACATAACTCTTTTATCTTTATACTTATTTTCACCCAATTAACAATAGATATGTAAATTATTTTTCTTAGCGACCCAATGACCCAACACCTGTGTGCTGCACTGTGGCACTCTCCATCCAATCACTTATTTCTACCCAAAAACCTCCAGAAGAAGATGAAGAAGGAAGAAGGACAAGAGACAACGCCCTAAATCCTACATCTTGTCTTTTGTTTTCTAAACTGGTTTAAACTCTAAACTAACTTTTTCACCCAGTGACTTAAGAAAACTCTCTAATTTTCACACTCACACTTTTAATTTTTCTATTTAACTTTAACAGTTGTTTTCACGGTGTTATATGAAATTCAGTGTTTTCTTGGATGTCAGAGCCAGGTATCAGAGACAAAGGCACACACTCTGTACCTCTGACTCCAACAACCCTCACTATTCCTTAGCTCAGGCAAGGTTTTAGTTCATCAAAACAGCAGTGCCACAAAGGGAAGATGTGACTGACAAAGGGGAGATGTGACTGACAAAGGGGAGATGTGACTGACAAAGGGAAGATGTGGCTGACAAAGGGAAGATGTGACTGAAGCTCTCAGCTTCAAGGGACACCTGGCTGTGTCCCCCCTCACCACACTTCAGTCAGTCACCTCCCCCAGTCAATTCCTGTCTGTTTCACTCCGTGTTACCCTGCTGACCTCACAAATGCTGTTCTCCTTCCCCACATTCCCTCCTTCCTTCCTCCCTTCCCTGTGGCTGTGCCCACGGCCTGGCCTGGCTCTGAGCCTGGCAGGCTGCGGCCTGTACACGGCGTCAGCCATCGCTGCACACCCACACGCTGCTGCAGGGAGCACAGCCAGGCCATGGGGACGGGAGAGAGCAGGATGCACCCTCTCCATGCCTACAGGGAATTCCATGGGGGAAAACCTAGGGAAAACAGCAGGGAGAGGCACCCTGCCATGCAGAAAACACCTCTGCCTGCAGAAACCTTCATCCCTAAACTGAGGGCTGGCACCCAGCCCCTTGGGACTGACCAAAGAGATGTCCCAGCCCCGAGGTGCTGCGCTCTGTTGTGAGGTGCCTCAGGAAGGCAAAGATTAATTTTAGATAAGCATTGTTAAAGTGGAGACATGGCTGTAAGCCTGGCCAGTGTGAATTTTGACCTCCTGCTTTGGAGGATGGGCTGTGTGAGCCCTGGATGAAGTTGTCCCACCCCAAACCCCATGTGAAGGACAGCCCAGGAGTTCTGATGGGGTTTGAGTCCCTGGGGTTTCTCCCTTGCTGTGTTTCTAGTGGTCCCTAACCCTGAACTCCACCCTCAAAGGTGGAGACCCTCAAGGGTTCTGTCCTTCAAAACCCCTCACCCTGCCTTTGTTTGGGCTCTCTGTCTCTGAATCCGAGTTTGTTCCCATGCTGAATAAATGGTTTCATGAACAGAAGCCAGTCTCGTTCCTGTCCCATGCTGGTTCCTGTAGCTTCTCTGGACATGATCCTGAGGTTGCAGAACAAAAAAGTGCCCATCCACAAACTTTGCTCCCCACTTTCCTCTCACAAAACACCACTTCCATGTCCTGTTTGGCTGTCAGCAAACAGCTCCAGGCTGTCTCCTGAAGGAACATGAGCAGATGGTCTGTCTGGAGGAGGACAGAAGCAAGACCAAGCAATTGTGGCCCCAGTGCAAGTCCAGAGAGGCAAAGCCAACTCAAAGCTCCTGGAGTTCTCCCAGAAAGCCGAGGATGGCCCTCACAGAGCACGTCTGCCCCTGCACCACATGGCTGATGTCGTTTTAGAACAGAAAATCACTCTTCAAAATGCTTGCAAGCATTGCTTCACCCACTACTCCAGCTTTAAAGGAGAAGTTTTCTGAGTTTGAGGAGTTTGGAAAATCCTGAATGTTGGAAAACATTCCTTTAATCTGCTGGTAATGTGCTAACATCTGTGGCATTTCTGTCTCACCAAGGCCTTATGTTTCAACTCTAACACCACAAACTTCTTCATTATCAATTATTTATTACCTAGAATAATTAAAGGGGAAATGCTGAACCTGCCAGGGGATTTGCAACCCTGAAAACTTCTTTCCAGCCCTCTGGCTATGCAGGGCAGATCTTAAGACATCGTCAATGAGGTTGTGGGGACAGAACAGAGAGCAGAGACTGCCACCTCCCCACAGACTGTCACCACAGGGACCTGCCTGCTCCAGCAGGCTGGACTTTGATCATCTCCCTGCAGTAAAACATCCAGCCATAGATTTGCTAAAACAGCAACAAAAAGCTTCACAAAGAGAGGAAATGAGGTCACGGAGCCGATGAAACTCAGTGCTATTAATTTATACAAAATGTGTTGTTGCAATGGACTCTAAACACTGAACTTTCTGAAAAATATTTTATTTTTTTTTTAATTGCAGCATTGGAGAAAATTAATGGACTGATAATAGAAGAAATCTCCAGGTTTGGGGACTGGGAGGTTGAAGTGCCAATCCTTGCTGGGCAACCCGAGAGCAGCTGGCAAGAGCCTTGCACAGAGCCTGTGTGACCCACTCTGAGCTGTCAGTCAGGAGCAAGATGAGGTATTTTGTTTGCAAATGAACACCTTCATCTCTGCTATGGATCCAGACAAGTGCCAGTGGAGCAGAGGCAAATGCAGCATGGCAGGGAAATCTGTGCTCGCTGCAGGGCTTCACTGGCAACGTGTTCTCATCTCTCTCGATGAGCAGCGCTAAAATAGGAGACAGTAAAGGATTGGTCCTGTCTGTTGGTGAGACTTCTCAGAATCAGAGATGTTTGGATTCAAATTCCAGCCTTTTATTCCTGTCTAAGCCCCTCTGCTGCACAGACTGCAGTGAGGTGAGTGAGCTGCCTCACAGGAGCACGTACAGGAGCGCTCACTAACCAAGTTATTCAGGCTGTGCTGGTGATCTCTTTTCCCACGGGCACACAGGGGTCTGAGGGAGAGCAGCTCACACCTGAGCAGGGCTGGCACCAGGACAGGGCTGGGTACAGAGGGACTGGAACCCCTGGATCCCCCAAGGCTGAGAGCCGGGGGTGACCGAGCCCTGACGCTCCCTGCACACAGTCAGGAGCTGAACAGGTTGTGCAGAGGAAAAGCAATGAGCACCACCTTCAGAACAGCGATAAATCATTTCCCTTGGGAACAAAGATGCAACTGTGATGAGAGAAAGTGGTGGGAAAACACAGCAGTAAAATTTAATGCATTCTCTGCAATTACAGCTACAGCTGCCAAGTTGTTTCTCGTGCTGTCACTACAGCAGTGGTGACACTTTGGTCTCAGCCCGACCTTGCAGCCTCACCTAAAGCAGCACAACACTCCTGGGGATTCCTGCAGGCACAGAGCTTTGCCGTGCTGACAAACATCAGCAGGTCTGTGGACACAGACTCACAGTCCTGATACATCCCCATGCTAAGGAAACCCTGGGAGATCTCAGCCAAGGTTTGACATCCAACCATCTCCCCTGGCTCTCCTGTGGCAGCTGCTCCCTGCCCTTTCCCAGCAGGCTGAAGTGGCACAGGAGCTCCAAGGAGCACCAGGAGCCACCAGCAATGCCCCACCAGGCTGGTTGAGGGGAGGAAAACAAAATTCATTTTACCCATGTGTTTAATTTTCCATGAATTTCCAAGGTTAAGGCTGCCCTGGGAATGTGCTCACCTCACAGAGCACCTGCAGAGCCCTTGCTCGTGCTCTCCCCTTCACTCAGACACCTTCAGCACCTTAAACTCTGCTTTCTCTTCCAAGCCCGTTTCCCCAATAAACAGAAAAGAAACCAAAGGGAAAGTAAATAAGTGGGAAAAGAAAACCACCCCAGGGAGGGATGGAAATTTGAGTCCACAGTGTTAAATTGCACTAAATAACTGAAAATCAATGTTGTTCTTCCTTTTCCTCAAGGCACAGCCATACATGACAGCACTCCAGGGGTACCTCTGCTCATTCCACCAGCCTGCTACGTGCACTTACTTTTATTGCAAGCAAGGGCCCACTGCTGACAGTGAAAACAATATCCCTGGAAAAAAGCAATGGCAATTTTTTAAAATAAAATAATAGTTATAATTACAAGAGAACAGCATTTCTTCTTTGTTCTATTACTTTTATAACTTTCCCTAATACTCCTGCTAATGTCCAGGGGTACCTGCCTAAAGATGAAGACACAAGAGCACACCAATAGCTGTGAGGAAACATCAATTAAGAAAAGCTCCAAGCAGCACTGTAATTAAGACACAGTGTTGGGAATCATCCCTGCAGCCTTTCAGAACAACTGGAAAAACAAACCTCAATTAAGAATGCTATCATTAAAAAAACCTGCAAACAGAAGAAAACCCAAATCAATTTTATAAAGCTGCCTGAGGCTTCCAATGCCCTTCATCCTGGTATATCCCAGCTGGAGCTGGGCTGAGGAATCCAGTGGCAACACATGTTGGTCTTGCCTCTGTTAGGGGTGAGGAGCTGCTGGAGAGGAGCTGCCCACACTGTGCAGGGCTGTGCAGGGAGGGTTTTGTGGTTACTCCCCCATGTCAGGGGCAAATGGGGCTAGCAGCAGATTTAGAAACACCTGCACTGCCCTGGGAGGTTTCCCTACCCTGCTCTAAGCTCTGCTGCTCTAGACCTGCCATACCATGTTCCATAAGAGCTGTGGAAATGACTGGAGGCTTGGGATGCTCATTCTCATTTGATCCAGGAGCAGGAATGAGTTCTCTGGAGGAGCATGGTGTGTCCAGCCTGCTGCTCCTACCCAGCAGCTTCTCCACGACTTAGATGGATCCAGGGACTGAATTTACTCTTGTCCACAGCCTTGGCTGGCACAGCAGAGCTGTTGGCATCTGCCCCAGGAAGGGCTGCACCTGCACGTGCCACGTGCCTGCCTGGCCGTGCTCCCTGGCTGGGGAGCAGGAGCACACAGGGATGTCCCCAGTGGGAGCAGGGATGTCCACAACAGGAGCACACAGGGATGGTTCCAACAGGAACACACTGGGATGGCCCCAGCAGGAGCAGGGATGGCCCCAGCAGGAGCACACAGGGATATCCCCAGCAGGAACAGGGATGTCTCCAGCAGGAACAGGGATGTCCCCAGCAGGAGCTGGGATGGCTCCAGCAGGAGCAGGGATGTTCCCAGAAGGAGCAGGGATGTCCCCAGTAGGAACACACAGGGATGTCCCCAGGGGAGCAGGGATGGCCCCAGCAGGAGCACACAGGGATGTCCCCAGGGGGAGCACACATGGATGGCTCCTGGCACAGGCTGACTGGGCTGGCAGGGGCAAACTCCTGTTTGTGCTGTCACACAGAAACCTCCTGACAAAGCCTTGACTCAGGGAAACAGCCTAATCCAATTAATAACTGGTTTGGTTTTGCTTTGCCAGGTGGCAAAAGCAGAGGAGAAGCAATTCAATTCCGCTGGCCACACAGGCGCTCCCAAGCTCCTGTTTGGGATCCCACCACCTTCACCAGTGGAATTTGTCACTTGGTTTGTTCAGGCATCACCACCGAGTTGTCACTTGAGAGATTCTGCACCCAGGGATGGTGGAAATGAGTCTAAACACCATTGCTGAGGGAATGGATATTAGCAATAATATCCATCCTGCTTTACAAGCAAGGGGTCAGACTGCTGGGGGATGAAGAGCCTTCACCAGCAGAATTTTGTGGCATGCAGGCTCCAGAGCTGAATCTCCTAATTCCAGGTACAAACCTTCACTGGCACACATGCTACAGCCTGAGCAGACTTTGCACTGACTTAAAATATTGGCCATTACCTCACCAGCACAGAAATAAATGTCTCTAACTTCTGGATACAAATTGGAATTTTCAAATTGGCATCTGCATCTTCCAAATAAAATGAGGAAAATTGCCCATTAAATCAAATAGCAATGAAGTGAGGATTCAGCCACAGACATATTCAAGGAACCTGCCTCGGGAACACAAAACTACCCAGCTCCATTAATGTAATGATGCATTTTGATGAGGAAGTCACTTGGGGCATGTTAGCATGAAAACTGCAGGGATAAGATCCTCCAAAGCTGATATTGCAGCGCTTCACTTTGCTCATGCCAAACATAATCTGACCTAAGATTCAGAGCCATCACTTAGTGACAAATTAAAGAGACGATGACCAGATGTCAGGTCACAGACAAAGAAGTTGTCAGACTCTAAAGAAACTGTAAACAGAAACTCAAAAGAATCGGCCCCAGTTGTCAAAATCCTCTTTTCTTGATTATGCAACATCCAAAATATCTTTGATTTTAAATAGGAGATGTGAAAATTTTATAGAGAAGTTACTGCATTCTTCTGCACAAGCAGCTTTTTCAAACATTCTCATCCATCAAAATGATTTTTTGCTGATAATTAGCCTCAGAAAAATGCACTTAATCAAAGTGACATCCATTACTTCTCGCTCCTGTAAATAGGACTGTGGCTTCTGACGATGATTTTCTGGAAAGCATTCAGACTATTTAAATTAGGCAACAAATAAGCTCCTAATGACACTTTTCTGAGATACAGTTTAATTTTATTTATGGGCTTTTTTTATATGTGCCCCAACCCAGCTGTCAGCACTGTCCAAGAAAAGAGAATGCAGGAGATCAAAAACTGCCATAGTCAGGACAGCAAACATCAAAGGGATGCCACAGCTTGGGGTATGAAACAATATTTATCCATCCAGCAGATGTGCTTTCTCAGCTGCCTTTAATCAGCACTTGCAGCATCACTTCAGAACAGGAGCCTCGCTGGCAGCCCCAGCTCTGAGGGGCTGCTGTGCTCAGCCCCTGCTCCCTTCCCCCAGCACCCCTGGCCTCGTTTCCACAGCTCCATGGACAGAGGATCCCCATGCCCAGAGCACCAGGAATGTGAAAAGGTCCCAGCAGTGTTTGTGCCCCCAGTTCTTCACCTTCTCTCGGTTACAGGCTCAGCATCTCAAGCTCTGCCTTTGCTGGTGTATCCCAGAGGCTCCGGGTACCTTCATGTCCACAAAGCATCAGGGAGATAAGAAGTGCAGTACTGCCATAAGCAAGCAGAACAAATCCATTTTCTCCCAGTATTGACACAGACAGCACCTTCCAAATGGGAAAGAAACTTCTGAACCAGGCAAGACTAATGCCAGACAACGGAGGCGACTGCAAGGCTCCCAGAGAGAACCTTCCCTCCCCAAAGGAAAAATCACCTCCCAGTCCCTGTCAGTCAGATCCTTGTGCTGAGAGCAGTTTGCACCCTTTGGGAATTCGGAGCTGAATGACACCTAATCCTGTTTCTCTAACCCAAAGACCTGCCTGGCAGAAATGTCAAGCCCAGAATTTAAATACAGCTAAGCCCAAAGCCCTCCACCACCTCGTGGGAGTGAGTTCCGAAGATGAGTAAGATGATCCTGGAAGTAGCGCTTGGACTTGACAACTCTAGATTTGCTTGTCATTAGGCTTTTCTCTCTCTGTTTCACAAATCCATTTTCCTCCCACATTCCATTCCCAGTCAGCCGTTTCCTATCTGCTTCCTGGCCAATTTATTGCATCCACCACAGGACGTTCAAAGTGTTATTTTAATTCTCCTGTCAATCAGTCCACCTGCCAAAGAGCAAGCCCTGCTCAGATCAACTGCATTCATCTTTCACATTGCAAAAAACAAAAGCAAATTAGGAGCAGCCTGATTTACCCATTCCACCTCACATTCGCTGATCAGTTCCTTCGGTTCCAGAGGTTATCTGGACCTACTCTCCTGCTGCTGTACCACAGCTCTCTAATTATCTACTTGTTCCAACGAGCTCTCATCTCCTCAAGCTCCAGCATTACCTCATTCCCTTACCTCAGCCCAGGCTTGGTGTCTCTTCAGCATCCTCTGTGATGAGGATGCACTAATTCATCTCTAACAGGAACACTTTTAATTCTCCAGAAGCAGCAAAGCCCAGGCTCCCCTTTGGCCTCTGATCCTTTTAGTCTTTGCTGACCCCAGAAACCTCCTCACTTCCAGCATCACACTCATCCCAGGGTAATGCTCAAAAGCAGATACTCGAGACACTAATGTTTTAAGCATTTCTTCTACAAATAAATGAGATATTCAGCATTATCAGAGTGTTTTCCTCCAGTGTTACATCCCTGAGTCCAACCAGCTCTATTTTACCACTCGTGGTTCCCGCAGGGTTTACGTGGGGGAATTTTCTTCAGCCCGTCCCCGTCAGGGCTGTAACAAAACCCTTCAGAGCACAACGCTGAGCTGCTTATCATCCACAAACACAGCTAAGCCAAAAAAGTCTTTCTGCTTCTCATCTTTTTCTTCGCCAGCCTAAATCAGCTCCTGATTCAGTGGGTTTGGAGCAGACTAATGAACTAGTCATAATTACTCCAGCGAGCTTGATTCATCCACAAGGTCCCACGATTATTAATGACTTGGACTGGAATTTAGGCCTAAGAGCAACATTTCCCAAAGCCCACAGCTCAGCTCAGCTCCCAGAGAAGTCAAGTGGACTGCAGTGAACAGCAAATGTGGGCTCAGAGATCTGCATTCCCAAACAAAATGAAATTATCGGTGTTTTCCAGACGAAGGGGAAATCAAGCAACTCAAGCAAACGGCACAAAGCCAGTGAAACTGAGAT